TTTTATTTGTTGAACCCGCGGGCTAAAGAGCCGGCTGGAAGATTTTCCAGCCGGCTCCTTTGATCAGCTGATCGAGGAATGTTAGCTGAAAGGGAGCCGACAGCCCCACACACTGTGTGAATTTCGGCCAGTGTATGGGCACCTTTAAACTGCTCTAGCATGTGTCCAGCCTGTTGTTGGCTTTTGCCTCTGGCAACACAGCGGGTCTACGGATCCTCATAACATGTACATCGGTGCTGATATGAATCATAATACTCGGGACTCAGAATGACTTCAATGTAAGAGAACTACTAAAAGCATGTAAAGTCCGTTGCAAAAACTGTGCCTGCAATCAGGTAACGCGATTCTACGCAGTCATATTTTGTGGACGCCAAACACCATTGCTGATTGTACCATGGTTGTCATGGTGATCCAGAGGCATCAGGACTTTCTGAGCCTAGTCATGTGCAATGACAGCAGCCTTGTTTTGCTGCATCTTGGCATAGACAGTGTCAAGTTGGGATTTTTGTAAAGTTCCATGTATCAGACGTGAGGACGCCAAGGGACATACCATCTCCTTGCAGAGAAGAATTTGCTGGCTGCCATTGTTGACCTCTTTCTGAAATTACTAGCTGCCTGGCTCTCAGGCTGATGCTATGGCGCCAGTGGCAGCAAGTGAAGCCAGGACTCCTGTTCAGGTAACTCAAAGCACCGAAGCCACTGGATCGGCATGACAGCCACAGCCACATCAGTTTTTTTTTAGGAGAGGCCATCCTGCCTTGTTTTTTTAAACACAGGTTTACTTTAAATTATTTTCATTTTTTTACATTTTGCCTCCTCCGTTTTTGCTGACCGTATTACCGTTATTCTAGATAACAATTCTAGATATTCAGATTTAGCAGAAAGGGTTAAAAGGATATATTGGCGCAGTAGAAAAAATGGTACATGCATGAATCTATAACCGGCCTTTATAGCAGGGCGCACATTGGGAAGGCTTACAACAATACAAAACACAAAAATTCCCCAGCCTCAACCTGCCAGCCAGCCTGCAACCAAACAAGTAGCCCTGTCAACAGTATGCGTTAAAATCAGAGGTTTTAGTTGCACAAACTCTTGGCCAAAAGTATGTAGAAGCCACACTGCCGCGCCAAGGCACCTCTGCAAAGTGTGGTCCTACCTCTATGTATCCGAGTCTCCAAGTGTGAGCATATTAATGAAGTTGCAGGCTGGCTGGCAGGTTGAGGCTGGGGTATTTTTGTGTTTTGTATATTGGCGCAGTAGCTCAATTTTTTTGTTTGAAAGAGTACCTGTCAGTGTAGAAAAATACAAGCTACCAATGTTGACCCAGCGAAAGGTAAGAATGGCATCCTAGGAGGATGCATGTCCAAAAACAAGTCAGCAATGAAGCTCCTGACCAGTTCTATATATCGGGGGGTGAAAATAACCCCTTAGGGCCCGTTCACACCATCTTCACTGCGTTCAGGCCCGATTCTGGCCGGAACGCACTGGATCGCATTGCGGCCAGCTCACTTTGTTGTGGGGCGGGAGGGGGCGTGGCGGTCCATTGAAGTGAATGACCACTCCCTCTGACCGCAATGTGATTGGCCGCATGGGAACGCGTGGCACATCAATGCCTGCGGTCCGGCCAGAAAAAAATGGTGCAAGCACTATTTCTTCTGACCAGACCGAACCGGAACGCAGGCATTAATGTGCCACGTTTTCCTGCGCGGCTGATCACCATTCACTTTAATGAACCGCCACGGCCCCTCACGCACCACAACAAAATGAGGCGGTGCAATCCAGTGTGTTCCAGCCAGAAGCGGGCCGGAACGCAATGTCTAGTGTGAACTGGCCCTTAAGATTGATCGAATTACATAAACTATCTGTAAAAAATAAATCAAGGCAACTGGACTTGCTGTATTTTTCTTCAGAGACGTTTCACTGGTCATCCGACCAGCTTTCTCAATTCAGAATGACTTGTACAAAAACTCTCTGGTAATAAATATGGTGAATGTTGCTCCAATCAACATAATCTGTTTATCATAACCAGCATGCGGTCAGAGACCTCCTGGTGTTATTAAGCATTGCATGTGGCAGACAATAGATGTCTCATCCCCCCACCTCTATTCAAGCTTGGCTTCTCCATTTTTCCATGAATGGCCTCTTTTAGACCTCTTTTAAACCAGCCCTCCTCCCTCTCCTGAATGCATATGGGGAGGAGAGACTTCCATTGTCTGCCACGTGAAATGCTGTTTTAACACCTCTCTCTGGGTGGGTTAATAACACCTGCTAGCTCCAATCATGCAATGCAATCAACACCTTACCTCCACGAGGTCTCTGACCCCATGCTGGTTATGATTAAAAGATTATGTTGATTGGAGCAACATTTACCATATTTATTCCACGCAAGTTTTTGTACAAGTCATTCTGAATTCAGAAAGCTAGCCGGATGACCAGCGAAACGTCTTTAAGAAAAATACAGCAAGTCCAGCTGCCTTGATTTTTTCTTTACAGATATACCATGACGTGGATGAATGAGAACCTTCACAGATGAATTCCACGATCCCTACCTTGAGAAAAAAACAAACCTGTCTCTATATTCGGTGTTGACCGTTGGCTTGTAGCACATAATAGGACACATTTGTCTCATTTGATGATAAAAGAGTCATTCGTCTCCGGTGTGCTCCCGCTGATTCCCAGGCATCTCTATATATCATTTGTGTTTGCACAGTGGCTGCCATTTAAAGGAGCCTCCCCTGTCAGTAGACTGAGCGAAGCATTGGATGAGAGCGATCCGTGCTGGCGTCTTAGTAGTCTGCGGAC